CATGTGTGCATGGCACCACTTCTTCCCACCGCCTGCGAGATGAGAGTTCTGCGCTGTTTTTATTAACCTTATTCTTGGCCTTTGTTATTAGGTGGTCAGTTAGCTTGTGGACCGACTGTTTCTAAAAACGTGAGTCTGAACATTAAGACTTGCATTTCTTTGGAAAACGCGGCATTTCTGAAAACCCTGAGTTGCACTGGCCTTTCCCAGGCCCTGAATCCTAGTGGCTCCCCTGCCAATCTTCCTGGAGGGGCAGAGGGTGAACGGAAATGAGCAGTCACTTCACTGACAGGCCGGCAGGGAAACCAAGCCCTGGGGCTCTGCTGGTGGGTTCCTCCCACCACGGTGAGTCGCCTCCTGGCCTGAGAAGCCCCAAGTACTAGTTAGAAATGGCTGGGTTGGCTGGGTTTTTGCTAGAGGCTCTTTCATTGGTTTTTATGCTGCTTAAACACATCACGCCCCTTGCGTCCATAATTCTCTTTACCAAAGATTTTTTCTAAACAAAGTTATTACAGATCTCGTTTTTGAAAAGATTTTTTTTTTTACCTGAAATATAAGGAGTTAATACAAGAGCAGCTAACAGTTCGCCAAGTTTAGAATATTAGAGAATGAAACTGCCAGCAACCCACCTTTTATTTATTTTTATTTTTATTTTTAAAATATATTTTATTGATTTTTTACAGAGAGGAAGGGAGAGAGATAGAGAGCCAGAAACGTCGATGAGAGAAACATCGACCAGCTGCCTCTTGCACACCCCCTACCGGGGATGTGCCCGCAACCAAGGTACATGCCCTTGACCGGAATCGAACCTGGGACCTTTCAGTCCGCAGATCAACGCTCTATTCACTGAGCCAAACCGGTTTCGGCCCAGCAACCCACCTTTTAATAACCTGTGTGAGTTACTTAGGCATTGCTTCCAGGTCTTTGCAGTGAAGGCAATGTGGGTGGTGCATCTTAGGAACTGGTGTAGCTGCTTTAGAATCAGAACATGGAACATGGGGACACAGCCCGGCAATGGCATTGGTTTTCACGGGAGGGAGACTCATTGAAGTCCTGGCTGAGCAGGCCTGCAGGGAGGACTGCTTTACCGCCCTCCCAGCCCAAGTGAAATAAGCCATCTGACCAGCAGCCACTTCCCCAGCATCTTCTGCCCCGAACTGCCAGCCCTCTAGTCATCAGTCCGGTGTTTCCTAGAATTACCCAGGGGCGGCCTTGTGTGAGATGATGTGTGTCATGCTTCTGTGAGGACCCGCCAGTTAACGGGTGTCCAGTTCTAGGCCACTGCCATTCTTACCTTCTGCTGTGTTACTGTGCCTGCTTCTTAGAAGTCACCAGGAAGATGCATTTCACTAGTTTGAAAAATGAGTCAGATTCCAGGTAGTCGGCCTGCCGCAGGTCTGCAGCATCAGCGTTTTCTCTCCGTTTGCAGGCGCTCCGGAAACCAGTGTGTATAACTGCAGGGTCCATTGCCATTTCCTCCTCCGTCGTCATAGAGAAACGGGAGCGCTGGCGACTGACGTGCCTGGATGGAGGGAATGTGCAAGCTCATTACCGGGAAGCATGTGTTTAGATGTTCAGATACACGTAGCTCTCAGCTCTGCTCAGTATTGCAAAAGACATAAAGAAGCCAAATTCGTATTAGTTTTAGCAACTTATTGAAAGCAGGTATATGTAGGCTTAAAAAAAAAATGCCAGGGGCGAAGAGCCAAACATTTTGTCATACTGATTTGCCTTCTGAGAGAATGACAATGGTCACAATGGCTCCTGGCCATTCTAATCGAAACAGCAGAGAGCCTTCAAAGAAGAGAAAAATCTGCCGGTTGTGAGGTTTGTGATGTCAGTGGACGTTGTGATTAACCGTCAGCACTCTCAGTTGCCAAATTCAGCGTCTAGCCCAAGCTGGTATTTTTGAGATTTTTAAAAGACTAGGTGATTAGTGTTTTATTTCAGTTCACTAACCAACCATAGACAATTGCTCTTCCTGTGGTTTCCCGGCAGTTCAGACAGGCAGCTGGCTATTGTTTCCACGCCAGCCGTGAAGCAGCACTGATATATTTTGTTTAATATTAGCCCTTTTAATAAGCGATAAGATGTACTTGGGGGCATTCAGTTCATTGTAATGGTACTGTAGGCTTTGAAACAGCAACAAACTCTCCTATTCTTGGAAGCCCACTGTCTTGCCAGGAGACCTCTGTGTTTCTTAGTTTTGGCTCCTTGTTCGGTGGATATTAATGATCCAAGGTGGTTGAGTTGCCTCGTGTCCTGATATGGAAAGACCTTTACCTGGGATTAAGGAGCTTGCCGAAGCTCCTTTAAATTCTAGCCTCTCTTCCACCTGCTAACTTGTCCATCTCCTATCTTATGAAAAATTCATTGCTGCTTATGTGATCCTATTATAGAAAATTTTAAAAACAGAGGGAAAGCCATAACCGGTTTGGCTCAATGGATAGAGCATTGGCCTGCGGACTCAAGGGTCCCGGGTTCGATTCCGGTCGGGAGTATGTACCTTGACTGCGGGCACATGCCTAGTGGGGGGTGTGCAGGAGGCAGCTGGTCGATGTTTCTCATCAGTGTTTCTAACTGTCCCTCTCCCTTCCTCTCTGTAAGAAACTAATAAAATATATCTTCTTTAAAAAAATAAAAATAAAAATAAAAAACACAGAGGGAAAAAGCTATGGTAATCATTGTGCAATATTTTCTTTGTCTTTTTTCCCTATGTATATTTTCATTTGCTGTGTGTGTGTGTGTGTGTGTGTGTGTGTGTGGACTGTATGGGTTGTGAGTGACAGAAACCTAGTTCCAACAAGCTTGAGCAAAGAGGGGAATTCATTGTGAGGACTGGTGTCCCTGAGCCCAAGGACAGGGACTTGGCGAGGCCTGAGGATTGGTTTCCGAGTTCCAAAGGTGGAAACTGAAGCAGATCCTTCCTCCTCGGGTGTAAGACTTTACCCAGAGAACAGGCTCAGCAGGAGCCATGAGGCTTGTTGTGGTTTCTCCCATCCCAGGTGAGTGGCTCTGGACAAAATACAGGGGGAACTCTCCCCCTCCAGGCCAGGCACACAGGAGATGAGATGAGCTCTAGATTCTGGCATGGGAGTCGCCCCCTGGAAAAGAAATGCAGGGGCTGGAGTGTGTCCTGCCACCTCACTGTCCCTCTTAAGGAATTAACGGCATCATCCTGGCTCTTACCAAGAATGACCAGATATTTGAGGGTCAGATTCCCATGCACAGGAGGGTAATCCCCAAGCTTTTAGAGTTAGTGCTAAAAGCCAGCAGTATTTTTAAAATAACATTTGTGCCAAAATTCAAACCCAGTAAGCAAGTTGGCCTGTTTTTAAATCAACAGCTACAGGAACCAGTTAATGTGCAGGACAGTATACAGACAAAAGAAGAGACAAGCTTATTACAAGATGGCATTGCTGAATGGGCCCATATCTCAAAAGCATGTTCCTAGGAAACCTTCCAGCTATCACCTGCACATCACACACACACACACACACACACACACACACACACATACACACACACAGCTGCTCCCATGGAATCTGTGTGGATGAGGATACAATTACTAGCAAAGCTAGAGGATAGGCAGACAAATAAAAAAGAATCCAGTATAATTATAACCATAGTATATATTAAATTTTTTATTCAGCCCAGCCAGTGTGGCTCAGTGGTTGAGCATCAACCCATTCCTGGTCAGGGCTTACAGGCTCCATATCTAGTAGGTATTCTCATTTTTTAAATATATATTTTACTGATTTTTTTACAGAGGAAGGAGAAGGATAGAGAGAAACATCAATGAGAAAGAAACATCGATCAGCTGCTTCCTGCACACCCCTACTGGGGATGTGCCGCAACCAAGGTACAACAGGCCCTTGACTGGAATCGAACCTGGGACCCTTCAGTTACAGGCCGACGTTCTATCCAACTAGCCAAACAGGCTAGGGCGTATTCTCATTATTGATTTTTTTTCCTCCCTCTATCTGAAATAAAAAATGTATTTTAAAAATTTAGATTCTTTATTTTTTATGTAATAATGATTATAAGCATTTTCTATATTGTTGTAGCTTTTTCCACATGCTGTTTTAATGATTATATAATGCTTCATTGAGTGTGTGTCATAATTTATTTCAGCCATTTAAATATTATTGGCAATTCAGACCTTTCTAGTTTTTTTGTATTTATAAAATGGGATATAATGAGTATCATTATGCACAGAGCTTCTTCCATATTGGAATTATTTCTTCACGATATAGACATAGAATTATAGGACCAAAAATATGATCGTGTTTATACTTTCCAGAAAGACTGCACTAACAATTTTCATCACCGCCACCAAGTGAATTTCACTACCTTTGGCTAGTTGCTTTAAAAAAATTTTTTAATTTATTGAGCATAAAATGTGCATTTTTATTTAAACTGTATTTTGAGTATAAGTGAGGAGTAATTTGGGTTATGTTTTTTATGCATTTTTAATAACATGTCTCTTTTGAAATCTTGGTGTTTTATTACTATATAAACTCATTATAGTTTTCCTTACTTTGCTTTAAACATTTCCCCATAATTCTTTGCCCTTTAAAATTTCCTAAGTGTGTATGGGTGTGTGTGGGTGTGTTGGAACTCTTCTTTATCATGGAGTCTTGGAAGATAGCCGAGTTTTAGAAAGTGAAATATAACTAAGAGAAGGAAGTCAGTTAGAAAGCTGAGCGCACTCTCTACCTCAGGGATTGTTTCAAAAATCCCTGTCCTTGTCATATTAAGTCATAAGCCAGTCCCTCTGTAGGAAAGACTGTCACTTAGAATAGGGGACCTGAGTCCTGGTCCTGACTCAGCTGTTGTCCAGCCAGGTGCCTTTGATGGGAATCTACACTCTCCATCCTCAGTTTCCTCATGTCTAGCTGGCAGGTTTTAGGAACGTTCGGGGGCGGAGGTCTCTGGTGGTACGTGCCCCCGATGAAGAATCATGTTGACCAGGAAGGTTCTTCTCCATCTCATTGCAGATTTTTGGAAGTCCCAGCACAGTGACGCTTCCTGAAACCCTGTTGTTTGTGTCAACCCTGGATGGAAGTTTGCACGCTGTCAGCAAGAGCACAGGCTCGATCAAATGGACTTTAAAAGAAGGTAATTTGGGTTTGGTCCTTGGGTGACATGGACATGTGCTCTGCTGCCCCCAAGGAAACATATTCCAGAAAAAGAGAAAAGCAGTTATATGTTACTTAATAAAATAATGCCATCTTGTAATGGAGTCAAGGAGAGGATAGGGCAAAGGTATGTTTACAGCTTAGATTATCTGATAAGTACATCATTTAAAGAGACACTGGTGGGCTATGTGTTTTTTTGTTGTTGTTGGCTTTTTTTTTCCCCCCTTCTGTCCAGATTTCATATTCAAAGGGTTCTAGGCTTTTCTATGAATAGTTCTGGCTTGATCTTTACAGAACACATGCTGCATTAAATTTTTTTGTTACGTTCTAATAATTAAAATCTTGTAATCATAATTACAAGAAGGTATCTTCTCTAACCGCAAATGACTCATTTGCTTTTATAGAGGCTGGAATAATTGAGGGCTGTAAGATTTGACATTCATCCAAGTTGGCCACTTGATAGGCTCTCTACATGGAGGGAAGTGAAAGACAGACCTGACTCTCCTTTTGTAACCTCCCACAGTTTATGGTCTTGTCTTCCTGGTGATAGTGGAGTCCTACAGCTGGGAAACTGTATTCAATTTCCCAAGTAATCTTCCCCGGCAAAGCCATGCAAATCCCAGGATTTGCGGCTTTCCGTGTCATCTCTATTATTCTGTCCAGTAATGATCCTCACTTGGGCCCAGACGAGGGCCTGACCATCGTGTTCTCTTCCGTCACTAATCCGTGACTCATTATTGTCATGAGCACAGCAAGTGTTTTTCCTTCCTTACTCAAATGTCCCCAAATAGTACTTCAGATGGGAAAGCAGGGGCCTGTGTCAGAGGACACACGTCATCCTGTCAGTGCAGCAGCAAGCCTAGTTACCATCCACAGAGGATGGCAGCTGAGGCACCACAGACTGTCCTGCAGCACCTGGCGGGTCCTGCTTGGACCAGCAGGGGCTCTAAGCAATGCCAAAACCCAGCTCTCCCATCTTCAGGAGAAGATGGGAGAGCTGGGTTTTGGCATTGCATTGCAGGATGTTATCTGTACCGTTTCTCATTCCTGTGTAAGCATTTTACTGCTTAAAAAAAAAATCAGAGTTGTTGATTTTTCACAATTTTGGATTTTGTCCAAAGATGAAAATCAACAAGGTGCAGTGATAAGCATTTTTACTTTTGTGTTAAGGCTGGTCCCTTAGTTGCAGTATTCCCAGGCAGGAGGACATTATTGCCCCAAGGACACTACATTCTTCTGCTTTGCTTTTTCCTGTAGGCATTGTTTTAAATTGGCCTTCTCCAAGTCTTACTTTCCAGAAGCAACCTCATTCGTATCGGGCACAACGGGGTCCTGTCTTATTTGTTATTTAGTCAAACATAAGAATCAATCTGTTCTCTCCAGTAGTTTAGAGCTTAAAGAATTTGCCTCTTTTTTACTTAATTTAACATGTGTTTATAGGACCTAGTCTATGAGAGATACTTTAAGGGCCCAGAGAAGAAAAAGACAGTGCTTGCCCTCAGGGAGCCCACAGTCCGGCAGGGAGAACTTCCTCATAGAGCACCGGTGACCACCTCACTGAGGTCCTAGGAACTGCCGAAGGGAGGGGGCCGGGAAGGGCTTCATGAAGCTGGGATGTTGGAGCTGAACCTTGGTGGGTAGATGGGATTTCAGTCCGGAGAAGTGAGGCCTGGGAAGGAGAGAAGGAGGGAGCACGGCTAGGCAGAACAGGGAGGAGGTAAAAGGCACTTATAGGAAGAATTAGAGAAATGTGATTAAGGTCTGATAATCTCAATATTCAGTATATTCTAAGTCTCATTGTTTTTCTTTTAATAAACTGGCTTATTTTAGTGAAATTTAGCCCTATCTGTCAATAGCCTCGATATATATTTCTTTACAAAGATTACAGGTGATAATATGGAGACCCTGAGCTTTCAGTTCAATTGTATTATTTTTTTTTTTTATTGATTTCAGAGAAGAAGGCAGAGGGAAAGAGAGAAACATCAGTGATGAGAGAGAATCTTGATCTGCTGCTTCCTGCATGACCCCCAGTTGGGATTGAGCCCACAACCCAGGCATGTGCCCTTGACTGTTTGAAGCTCTATCCACTGAGCCAAACGAGCTAGGGCCAATTTTAACTTGCAGTTATAACAAAAGATTTCAACATTGGTATTTGCAAACCATTAACAAGTAAATAGATTATAAGTATTCTAAGACCTGAGGATGTAAGTGAAGGAAACATAAAGCTTTTATTCTTTGGGGAAACAGATAAGGAAATAAATGACATTCCAGTGCTCTGGAGAAAAATAAGGAAATAAATGACATTCAAGAGCTCTGGAGTAGGGGGCGCCAGGCTGCTGGGGTTGGGGTGGAAAGGGCCGCAAGTTTGAACAGGGACAGCCCCACTGAGAAAGAGCTCAAGGAAGGAAGGACCAAGGATCCTCAAGTTCAAGGAACCCAACCATGCTGTCACCTGGTCTTCGACTTCTCATCTGAAGAACTGAGAAATAACACCAGGCTACAGTATTTTGTTACGGCCGCCCAGCCAAGCTGACTAGAACACCAGCCCCCGCCGTACAGCATCAGCAGGTGCTGTGTTGAGACTGAACTGATGGGAGGAAGCGGGAGACCAGGCAGGGGCTACTTCCCCAGTCCAGGCAAGGAAGGCTCTGGGCTTGGGCATGCACAGTCGTGGACAGTCAAAGTCAAATGGAAAAGCCTTGCCGATGCAAACAGACACCTTTAACGCATCCCACTGGGGTTCTGCAGAATATACTAGTGTACCTGTTACTCCATTTCATGGTTTCCCAACTGTTTACTTGTTTCAGAGGCCAACAAGCTGGGGGTGTTTTTTTTTCTTTCCACAGAGTGGTTTTGGCAGGTGTTGTGTTCCTCAACCCAAACACGTGTTGCTGTTCCCAGAAAGGGAGCTTTCTTACACCATCGTGGCAGGCTGCACCTAGTGCAGAAAAAGAGTTTTGTTTTCCGGCACCGAGTTGAGTTCTGACACTGCATGAGCTGTGATCTTTCTAAGCTGTGATTTTTGTAATGGTAGTACCTGCTGTCTGTCTGTCTCTGAAATATCACCACTGAAGATGGTTGAGTATGTTTTATTTCTGCACTTTCTGCCCAAATGCAAACAGAGAATATTGCCCTCATGCTTTGTGTTGGATTAGTTTTACGAAGCTCGCTTCGGCCTGCTGAGGTCCAAAGTACTCTCTCTGGTATTGTCAGCTTCTGGTTTAGGGCTTCTTGCACTTAATTTGAAATGTTATGCTCTGTGTGGTGGCTATTAGTTAATGATGATTTTTGACACTCAGATCTTCATCAAATTGTACTTAACTCTTTAGCAACTCTGCTCCCAACCCCTTCATGGCACAGAGGACTGGATCTAATTTAGAACCACCCTTTATTAATTGTAAAAATATGCTAATTATGCAACATGGCTGCTTTCCCAACCAGATGGGCCCGGACTCCTGAGATGTCCCTTGAATGGTTCATATTGGGGATTCTTATGAAGGAGGGATCAGAACTAAATTGGTTACTTGAAATTTGAAGAAAATCTTCCCACATGAGTTTCTCTTTCTTAGCGTGTGCCTCTTGCTATGGTTTCTCCTGGTGCGTACAGCACAGCCCACCCAGGCTGGGAAATAGAGTGATGCTCTGCTACTCAGTCACTGAGTCCTGTCATGCAGGCTGAAGAAGTGTCTTCCAAATCTGACTCCCCATCCCCATCCTCCTTGCCAGGCTCCCCATTCATTTCCCCGATTAATGTGACAGCTTCCTGACTGTGGTCCCTGCACCTGTCTTATCCTCCCGTTCACCCATCACGCTACTGTCACACGTGCCCCCTGAAAAGACTGATTGACCACACCACACCCCCGCTAAAATACTCTTGGTGTTGACTGTTAGCAGTGCTACTCCAGGTGTCGTCTGCCCTCCTGTGTTACCTGTCCACGAGGAGAGAAGTACAGAGAGAGAGAAGCATCACCCGTGGTGTGATCCTCCACTGATTAGTTTGGGGAGGACTGGCTCACAGGGTCAAGGCCACGTTCCTAGGTATGCATACAAGGCCATTCGAATCCACTCTTGCCCACTTCTCCAGCCTCAACTCCCTATTTTCCCCCAGGGGTGCCCCTTGTTCCAGCCACAACTCCTCTCCAGGCCTCGGAGACACTGGGCCTTGGCTTCTGCCCTCTCCCCTCCAGCAGCCTGCACTGCTGGGCAGCACCTATTCATCCCAGGTTACCTCCTTGTTTCCTCAGGGCGAGCCCCTTCCTCAGGTGGGTGTTGGAGGCACTTCCTGCTGGCGGTGTGAATTTTTGTTACTTTTGTCTTCCTGCTGAATTTCTAACTCCTTGAAGGTGGGGTCTCTAGACAGCCAGGGATGCTCAGTGAATGTCGGGGGCACCTGATGCCGACTTGAGTTCCAGAACCCTCCTGACTAGACGTCCTGACAAACAGATGAGACTTGCCTTTGCCTCCTCAGGAGACTCGCCTGCCACTCGTGCCATCGTCACATTAGTTTCCAGGGCCAGTTTCTGATCTGAGTTTCACAGGGCTTTGTGGCTTTTGCAGGAGGCTTTCTGTCCTCGGTTAGGCTGTGTGCCTCTGGAAGTGTGAGGGAAACGTGTGTGCCCGCAGAGGTGTGAGGGAAACGTGAGAAGGGAAGTTGTGGGAAGGTTGACATTTTGTTAATCGTCCTAATCTCTCTTCTCCTAAGAACCTTCCTAGGCTTCAGATAGGCATCGCCACCTCCCTACTTTATCAGCTAAGCACAAGAAAAGTGTTTCTTTGTTCTCCATCATCTTGGAGGACTGAAAATTAAGTTTCACAAGAAGGGACGTGAGAGGGCCTGTTTCTGCTTTTGAGGATCTTGGAAATGTGTTTTCTGTATTTTACTCTTTGTCATCAGAGATTCTAAACACAAACAGACAGAGAGACAATTATATAATGAACGCTCACTCAGCTTCAGCCGTCACCAGCTGATGTCCAGTCTCA